TAAAATAAATTTGTCAATGTTTTTCTTTTAAAAAAATTAATTTGCTCGCACTTCAACAATGGTTTAAGTCATCTTTGCACGGGTTGAAGAGTATTTCCATGTCATTTGCTAGCCACTTGGCATTTTCCTCCCTGTGTCAGACTTCACTATAAAATCTGTATAAAAATGGCACATCTCGATTGCCGAAGAAGGCCATGACCTGTTGATTCCGTAGCCAAACTAGGTGCGCAGCAACCTGGCCGTTCCGCTATCGACGGAGCGCTCATCAGCCCTCCTGGCTTCTGGGATTCGATGTACGTGTACGAGATCTGAAGAGGAGTATATATGTCCCGTATTGTAATGTCTTACAGTAATGATTGACTTAGATTCAGTCAAGTTGACCGCGTCGATAGTCAAAGTTCCCTGCGAGAAAGACCTTCACCGCTAAGTCCGTCCGCACGCACGTCCATCCTGCACGAACGTTTGCCATTCTCCAGTTAGCGTCTTGTGCGTAGGTGCGACATGCCTTGGGGCCTATCTGCCTCGACAAGTACAAAGAAAAAAAAGAAAAAATTTGCCAGTGCCGGTGCCAGTGCCCACGTCCTTGACAACATAACGCAAACTCTGCTACAACTTGGCCGAATAGAATCTTCAGTGCCTGACGGCGCCCCTCTGACATTCGCTCGGCCAGGCTAGCGAGAGCATGAAGGTTTTGATTGGGTGCCACAAATCTCTGTAATTGTCATGACAGTTGGTCGAAAGCAAGTCAAATTTTTGGTGAGCACGAAAATCGATCATATTCTCTTTTTGCATGTTGCTCATTTGCTCCGCAGCGTCGATGCGGATTCCGGTGGCCTGCAGTGCAGAGTAAGTTCGAATTTGAATGGCCACTGACAGTCAGTAACTTTCCAACCTTGCTACGGAAGAGGAATCTCCGATTAACCTTATTCTATTGCCCAGGTATTCTTACGGCACGGCATATACTAGGCCGAGTACATGCAACCCAACGTGATATGCCATGCTTGTAGCGTACTGTACCTTCGGGTAGATTGAAGGAGTCAATGAACCTTTGATGTAAAGCGAGTGCAGACTCCCAGTCTTAGATTCAGATACGACCACATTCGCTGGCTGTGAGCTCCAAGTGAGTGAGCCAAAGATTGTTTGATGCGTAAGTAGGACATTTGTAAGAGAGTTCAAGAAATGACATGAGGGGACTTGGACTGAATTTGAGAACAAACGCGACTACATGCGCTAAGTCAAACTCTTCGCGCTTCGGCTACCGGTCTGGCCATTCACACGTGACCGACTTATTGGCAGCGACATAATCTTGTGTATTTTCAAGTGAACTCACATCTTCAAACTTCTATCAGACTTAAAAGAAGAGCTTCTAGTCAACAAAAGAATCCCACCTTATTCTGAGAATGCGGTGGGATTTTATGGTCCAAAATTTGAGAAATTTCTGCCATTAGTCTCTGAAGTAATATAGGAGTCTAGCACAAGTGGAACTCAAGTTATCGACTCTCCTTGCAACACATTCTTTTGCACGAATAGATATATACTGTGTTGTGATCGCGACTCTAATAGAGAAGAGAAGAGTATCCAGAACAGAAAAACCATCTTGACAGTCGGCGACCATACCTTGAGACAGATCGCATGCCTATCAGGAGTGACGAATGCTCAAGTACGAATTATTTGAAGAAACGAGAGAAGCTTTTCATTCCTTCAGAACTCAGTATCTGAAGAAAAGCATGCTCGAATCTTGTAATTGTCGTTACATCTGATATCTTGAGAAAATAATGCTGGAGACTGCCAATTTCCCAACAATATGTAGCATTTTCACGTAGTTCAGGCGGAAAGAAAGTCAAAATATTTTTAGGGTGGTTCATATCTTATCTAAGACAAGATAGAAGGAAATTTCCAAAAGTTTTCCTAAAAGCACTCAGTCGAGAATTATTTTCCAATTGCCAACTGATTAAAACAGATGTGAATCTTTTCACTGGAACACAATAATTTTCGATTCAAATTCGATCATTGTATTTGCTAGTTAAATAAAGGTCAGACTGTTTTACCGCAAGTATCTCCTTCCGAAATTCTCATGTCATGACGGACAGACAGATCGTTTCTGTACTTAAACGAGCGCCGGGATGGGGTAGATACTGAACTAATTTGCACTGTTTCTATTACAAAATATCTTAAGTTGCTTGTAGCTCTAGGAATATAATATAAAAGTGAAAGATGAATTGCAGTACTTTAGCAAACGATTCAGGATTCACTATTTCTTCATAGAGGTAAGTAGGGCGAATTGTGACATTGCTCCATTACGTAACACTGCTGGTCAGCAGACAAACTTTCATACGTGAAGATCCCTACCGTGAGGATGGCTAGCGCAGGGTTAGAAAGCGGAAATTTATCTCATTGTATATCTGGGCATGTAGGGTAACAAGCTGAAAGACCAAAGAAAACGTGTCCTATTTCGATCACGGTGACGGCCATGACTTGACTCTTGGACATGGCGAAAAATCGGCGCATTTGTTTTCCACGAATGATCTGCGGTAACTTCGTCTGAAGAATCTTCAGCTCCAAGTAATCCACCTTCCAACTTTTCTGCAAATTCTCACTGTCCCGATTTCCTAGATCCGCCTTTGGATGAACTGACATTTGTAAAGTTTGGATTCTCCTTCTTTAGTTGTACTAATAGCATTAGCAGTTTTCCTTCAAGTTTGCTTGTCTTCAACTCGAAGCTACAATCGAATTTAAAATAGGTTCAGCAAAGTGTGAAATTCTGTATGTATTAGAAAAGTGTTACTTTCTTCGCAAATTCGCACCTCATAGCTTAATGAGCCTCAAGTGTAGCTTAGTCCTATCCTTGTGCATTTTTCACATCAAAACATGTATATCCACAGAGAATTTTGGATCGTCGATGCACATCAATCATTGTAATTACATGAAAAGTTATTCGAGATTCCTTTATTTGGTACAGCTAAGCTTTCAGGGACAAACTTATGACTTCAGAACCTCAAAAAACACTGTTCGGCTGGATCAAAAGCATTATTCTACCAGTCCACAGTAACCCGAAGCGAAGGCAGCTTACACCACATTTGGGCAGTCAGGAACCCAGAGGACTTCTTGGAGCATACTACCACTTGAGTATGTTTGCACTTTTGGCATGACATAGCGGGAATCAGGGAATTGTAGTCAATGATGTCTTATTGCTTGGAAATGATTGCAGTCCTGCCCAATAGGAGTTTTCTATTCTCAGTATTCTGAGAAAAATATTAACCTTTGCTTTTCAAAACAGATTCGGGATGGAACTCTGCTCTGCTCAGTCTTCACCACCTCAGCTTACTATCGTCAGCGAAGAACATTGATCAAACTGGATATACTATTGTGGCCTCTGATCTGACCTAAAAGGCTTGACCAGTCCTTTGCAGTCGGGACACTGGAGATATTTGAAACTCTTGGGTGCATACCTTCATGCGTGCATCTTAGATATTTGAGAACTGGTCACCTCGTGATCATAATCTCTTGAAAGCTGCAGTTGCCTCATTCCGGTGATATTCTGAGGTACGCATGGTACAGGGGGTCAACTTTGAGAATCCTGAAAGTGCAAGCTTCAGGAATTGGGGTGGCAAGTGGGTAGCCGTCGTCACCTACAGCCAGAATTCAATTTCGCTCTTTTGTTTGCTTCTTGTCCGCTTATGTACTTCGCTTAAACTACCCACAATGACCTCATAGTGAGACACTCAGATTTCCACAGGAGTTAAAGCCACTTTGGCTACATCGTCTCCACGACCTAAGTTGGTAGCCTTGATGAGTCGCTTCTTCACCAACCCTTCTGCTCCGAGAGCTATCACCCTTTAGGCTGGTCCAGTGCACAACTGATCATACGAGGTAATCACCACAGAATTGGACGACATGCACAGATGAACACCCGGATGGGGTTTCATTTGTTCCTGTAGTAGTTTTATCGCATTTGCTCATATGCTTGAACATCGAGGGAAGAAATTTTTTATCTGTATCCGAAAAGGTTCTTTTTAACTTCAGATTTGAATCTTCATGGTGGTCATGATACTGTACACATTTTCGATACTATAACTAGGGTCACACATGTCGAGCTTTTAACATGAGATTTCAAACTGTGGAACTTGGAACATATCTCAAAGAAGCAAATCGTCTGCGTTCGATCAAGATTTCTAAAAAACTTAGCGAATAGTCTAGACATTAGTGCACAGAACAGCACAGTACATTACCATGGAGATTGAAAGGATAGGAATTGGACTTTGTATTCAAATATGGTTCGAACCTTACATTTCATATCTCAATGTCTCAAGTTTCGATGGACCATAATGTATCATCGAGCATATGAAAGCCTTGAAATCAGTGCTCACAACAATTTTGGGGAAATTTGAATCGTGGGTAAAGATTATGAATCGATTTCAGTCCATAGTCCAGCCTCTCAGTTCTATGAGACAGAATGCTGAGATCACATATCCACAGATGGATAATCCTGCCATCCGGTCAGCTTTCCAAGGTTGCAAATTATCTGTTTGAAGTTTGTGACAGTCATGGGCGTGAGAAAACACGTCTAGAAGAATCAGGTCCCCGGTTACACCAACTCGGGGATGTGAGTTATTTATAGCATTTCACATTCTAGAAAAACCTGAAGTGTATGACTAACCATTTACCTATGCTTCTGACAAAAACTCGACTGCATGGCGTAAATCAAAGAACTCCATGGATCCTACATCTTCCCCGTGATAAGATGCGATTCTGATGTCATCCATCACGTAGCAGATTAATTCATTCGCGATTGTACGCGTATGTGCAAAATAGCTAAGGCTCAACTACATGCGTGTAGAACCCAGATAGATCTACTCTAGAATGGACACGGATCTATTCTACTTCAATTGACACCTGCCTGATCAAACAAAGTTCGTATGAACATCAGAACATTCAGAGATTCATATGCATTGCAAACTCGCCAAACTCGTAAAGAAAGTCCAAAATTTATGAGAGTCGAGGGTCAAGCTGCAGCGTTGCAGCAGATAATCTCAACTTGCTCTCTAATTTATGTCAACACGTCCTCCTTTTGGCTGCCAAAGCAGAGAAGCAAAGCTATCTTACTTGCAATCGTCATCAAGAATTCCGGATGCCCAAGAGCAAGAGGATCTAAATGTGCGCAAGTTTCAGCGATAGCAACCGGGTGACAATGAGTTCAAGCGAGCACTGAACTTTTATGTCATGGCAGCAAAAGGAGGAAACATTGATATAAACAAGGATCAAGTTGAGAACATCTATAGGTGGCATTGACCGGAGAATGTACCGCCAGCTCCGAAGCACGCAAATTGCACGTAGGCACGCAGTAGATCGTCGTCGTTGCACGCTAGCTAGCGGTCAAATTTGGATGATGATGATGATGATCTTGAAGACGAAGAAGACACGTCTACGCTGACGAATTGGCAAAATCTCGGACGTAGGACAAGTGTAGAGCAAACCTGACGTGAACGTCCGTCATCAGAGATCTGGAAGCCCAAACCTTTGCAGCTTCGCACAAGGACACGAATTCAAGAGGCCATGACAGGATAATTCACTACTCAGAAATCCTAGAAATAAAAGCAAGGCTTTGTAGGAAGGAGCTCGCTTGCTCCCTTCCGAGAATCACGATCGTCACTTGCAGCAGCGGCTAGAGGACAGAGGCTGCATCGACATCACGCATCCATGGTCATGCGATTCTCAGGAGAGCAGCAGCATCCTGAGCCCTGAGCCCTGAGCCCGAGCCGGCACTGACACATCATACTCATACTCATACATAGCACGAGAGGGACGTCCTACTCGGTATAGGAGGAGTTGATGATGATCATGATCATGGTCAACAACATCATGGTCTATCCGAAAGATCCGAAACACACTGCCATGAAGGAGTGCGAAAGCCATAATTTGAATACTGCAAGGTGGTCCTAATCTTTATATACGAAGCGCAGGATCGATGTGTATGAGCGCCATAAGCTGAGCTGTTCCGTCGCTTGCCGTCGTCTGTCTCGCTCACAGTGTGCGATTGCACTGTTTTGTTCCATTGACGTGAATGCATGGACCGCATGGATCCCACACGTGGATTCTCCACATCCGTGATTCAATTCGACAAACTCCCGGCCCGGAATGGATCCGTTGGTGTTCTCAGTTCCTGTGCAATCAGCAGCTGGCTCGTCCATGGATGGATCCGTCACATGTATTCTGATGATATTCGAACAGAATACAGCAACGCAGCGGAGTAGCCGCTACACGAAGGAGCTGAGCCGAGCCGAGCCGATCACAGCAGAGACTAGCCCTAGATCCACGTAGGTCAACGTGTATATTCTAGAGAGACGGGATGAATGAAGTCAACCTTGGGTTGTAGTTTTCCGCCTGTCCAAAAAGGGCACCCTGTTGGCCCAGAAAGGAAGATGATCTGCGGTAACCAGCAACCGCAAGTCTCCAGCTCAGTGTGCGGGCAACGAGCTGGGTCAACTCAGAACAGTGGCCGCTTCCACACTCCATCCATGCATTGTCCTTCGCAAGGATCCTTCACGTTTATTCTGGACCAATGCATCTTGTTTTCTTCCCCGCTAAGGTAGGACCTCGGCGCCACCATGCAGTCCTCTGCCAGCTGCCCTTAACCGTCTGTTCCGAGGGCGAGCCCGGCGCTCTGTTCCATCCCTTGGAACTATTCTCCCCCAGGTGGGTGGATCTCAGTGCCGCACCACGTCAACTCCTTGTTCTCCATGGCCGCGCTCGCTCCTTCTTCGGTCCGGTCTCGGCCCATATATATGGGCACGTTGTGAACACTTTTGCCCCACACGTATCCTGGCTTTCCTTTTTGCCCCCCAGGTTCCTTCCCTTCCTCCTTCGAGTGACTCACTCACTCACTCACTCCTTCCTTCCTTCCTTCCTTCCCTTCCCTTCCCTTCCCTTCCCTTACATTCTCTCCTCCGAGTCTTCTCACGCGTGTTCCTTTGTTGCTTTGTACGCCTCTTACTCCTCTACTAACTCCCTCGCTCACTCACATACTTGCCCTCGTGCTGGCCTTGTTCAATGTCTCATCGTTTGACCCTGCCGAGTCTGTATCGGGGTACTGCTCAACGCGAGCATTGTCAAGCACAGGCTGGCTTCATGCGGTTTTCCTCTCAGCTGCTCTGAGGAGGCGAAGAAGATCGAGTGCTCTTGACTATCAAACCCCCACGTTCTGTGATGGTGGACTGGAAGACGAAGCTCTGGGCGTTCGAATTTAGTCAAGTTGAAGCTGAGTGACCGACAGAGCTGGATGTAGAACCCACGCTGGGCTTTCTGGTCCCTTCTGCCATTCCCTGATTGTCGGCTTCCCACTGCTGCTGAATTGCTCATTAGAATTTGCCCTCAGGAATCCTGGAGAGATCCTCTATCTGATGCTGCCAAACCATGCCGCTGCCGCATAAACTCCTTCAAGTACTCGTCATTATGGACCTGCCAGTGTTGTTCTTCTTTTTCTTAGCTTATCACAGTCAGAGATAGACCTGGCGCCAAATGTGATGCTCCGACAATCTCAATAGTTACAGCAGTTCCTTCGATGGCATGATTATTTTGAAGGCCCAAACTTGAATGCATTCACACGATGGCGACTATATAATGCAGGGCCGTGGACAGCAGAGGCAGCATATCGCTCGTTACATGCCCTCCGGAGAATCCAGGCTGGCCTTTATAGTCTCTTACCCCAGCTAATCATGAGATGGATTAACACTTTACCTCAACGATCAACATTAGAGAACATACACTCACACTAAGGTTCCTCTCAGAGTTTGTTTGAGTCTAGGAGATTTTCCATTGCTGTTCCAAAGGACAAGACATTCATCCAGCGAGGGCGGATGAGGGACAAAGTGAAGAAAGTAACTCAAGAAACTGGAATATATAATGAGTAGATAGTGCAGTTTTTTCATGAAAAATAATTCAGATTTGGATCATTATGTCTTTAAGGTCGATAGTAGATTCCGATCCGATAGTATTTTTCATCTTATATATTTTTTTATAAAATATACTTTATACAATTAAATATAATTCAAACATGTAACCAAAAATTATTATTCTATACTTTCTAAAATTTATTCAGGTGTATTTTCACCATATAGGCACGTGTATATTAGAATGCATAATGTGGGGAAATAAAGTTTTCTTCAAACTCTTACGAAAAGATTGTAGTCACTTTTAAAACCGAACGTCAAGTCAAACTACGTGCATGGAATTTTTTGTCATCAATGTTTGCATGATAGAATCTTATTTTGAATCGTATAATAGATTAGAATTTTATTAGATGAAGAATATTGTCGGATCGGAATATATTTTTTACTTTAAAAAAGTCAAATTTTAATTCTCGAATTATTCAAACAATTAACTGCACTTTTTATTCATTATATTTCAGTATATTGTTATACGTCATGATTTAATATAGATGGAAAATTCTGTAGAATTCGTTATCCATGTCAGGAGTATCTACCATATTGAAACATTCTCCTCATCACTATTATTGGAGAGACGACAAAATCAAGTACACGTGAATGTAACTTTTCGCTGTCGTTGCTTTTTATCTCTCGCAACACAATCCTTTCAGCCGTCACAGCACAAAAGCTTTTTCCAATACTCGCAGGTTACTATATTGAAAGCTAATGAGTAGGAAGTATCGAACGTGGATTGTGTTTTTAGTATGTCTGCACGTAACTGTAAAAGCACGAGATAGATCTTTATGTTTCATATTAAACTATTTGAATTCTAGTTTGCACCTTTGAATATATATATACAAGAATATTTTACATTATACGATTTAGAGATTTCCTAACGTTCTCTGATTTTGCTCCACGTCATAGGATTGAGATTCCCGTCCCATATGACTAGGAAAATAGGTATTCTTATGGATAATTTCAATATACTTGTAACTTTGAATCCGATGCAGTTCATACTTTTCATACAAAATATCAACTGCATCGAACTTTTATTTAACAAAAAAAATTTATAAGTAGACAAACTTAAGTCAATCAATCTTCTTCTCAAAAATTACAGCACTCTAAATTTAGAGTTAATAAAAAGCTCAAACTTTCATGAATTAAATCAATATAACATTCGAAATATGTACACTGATTTTTATTTTTGAGTTTTCTTACATCCACAGAAGATTAAAAAAAAGTTGATGGTACTTTTTCCATCATTATTATAGAAACACAAAATAACCATCTAACTTGACATCAGATGGAAATGTATCTCCACTGACGTTCCATGGAAGAAATGTAAAACCACGGGCGTGAAATGTTATGCACACTCCAGCAGGGAGTTCATGTCTTGCAGCAGAGTGCTAGGTACTCCGTCACTTTGTGTGGAGAGTAGGCGTAACCTGGTTCTGACAAGTGAACAAACACTTATCTGGATTCGTGAAGCGCACTCAAAGTGACTGTGAAAATGATGACTGGCAAAGGTTATGGAGAATTCATAATTCACTTTCGGTCGACAGTGCGGCAAATAAAAGCCCAGAGAAAAAGACACACATAGTTAGGAGAAAGTATCTTCCAACTTTTGATTCAAAAGGTGCAGCAGTGACATCGCCCGCAGGCCACTTGGGGCAAACTGACAAGGGCTTTAAAAATATCTGGAAGCTTCACGATCTGCTTTGAGGTAGTTGATAACCTTGTACCTGGAAAGTATAACATATTTTACAGTTTGATCTGTTTGCAGTTTAGGATATGTATGCACTACTTTCGTGACCATGACCATGTGCAGATGGCTAGAAAACGCGTGAATGAGGTGGCTGTACGCATTGGCATTGACGTCACCACCTATCTACTGCATGTCGGCTCTAAATGTTGACGCGGATGATCCACCTTAGTCTGCTAGTTGGCTGCAACTACCCGCCCCAAAAGTATTCGGGCTGTTCATGAGATTTACATTTTCTGATCATTTAGCTTGGTGCCTCCACCTATTTACTTTCCATCAAGCTGCTAGGTGTCTCTTAATTTCTCTTGTCCTCAATTGATTGCTAGGTGTCGCCATTAAATCCCTTGTCTCCGAGGTGTTATATTACCTGTCTCCTGTCTAAAATGCCTCTGGCGATGTTGAGTCGAACAAGCTTCTCGGATGGCTCCAGACTGTTTCGAAATCTTTGCTGTGACAATCGCTAAGTTTTCTTTTCAACAGATCTGTGCCTCCGAATTCCTGCTCCGAATTCCGTCGAGAGTTCAGGTCATGGGTTCAGCTCGTTCAGTTCAGGTCATGGATTTTCTGCCAAGCCAATCTAATTATACTGTTCAGTCCGTGTGGAAAACTTCTCCACTTTCCACTTGACGACGACGTTGTGCTAGACTTAATATTGATTCCGCTTCCTGGAATGATTTTGCTGTTTATTGTGTGCCCACAGATTTATGACCAGTCAATAACAGTATGGCGTCATTCCCGGTAACCTCTCATGCCGAAAGGTGGAGTACTTGGCTCAGTGTTCCATCACGAAGATTTTTGGAGCTTGTTCGTTCGATTCATTTCGTTTCCAATTGCAAGCTTCAATTATCCCCACAGTGAATGTCATGTCATTGTAACAGCGTCATGCTCTCCTCGCAACCATTGATTGGAAACTGCTTCTTATCTGCATGACATTTGCTTACGCTGTCAAATGGCTGACCTAGTGCATTCATGTGTCCCATAAGTTCCCAGTATTAATTATTTACAATATGGCCCAGTCAACGAGCTCCGATTTTCTTTGTTGATCTGACTAGTCTCCTCCTTATCGACAAAGTGTTGCAAGCCTGGTAGTCAGTCAATGTTACTCTCTATAACATTGAATTTATGTCCTTGACTGCTTTTACCATTCTGCTGATCCATATTATGAATCATTTTAGCCACTGAGATTTCTCGCAGGATATGTAAAGTGCATTTGAGCAGAATCTGGAGCTGCTTACACGAAGGTCACATATACTTCTTTCAGGTGTATCCAAAATGAAAGTCAGTGAGACTTGCGGTCCTCTCAGCATTCCAGCAACTGAAAACTTTGACCCAGTTTTCCACAGGACTTGCGTGATGGAATTAAATGTGTTGGACAAAAACAACCGCTAATTTAGAGAATTGTAAAACATTGTCTTTAACAGTTGCTGTTATAAGATGGTGAGTCTTCACATGAATTCTGATGGTACTTCCATGCCATATTATGAGGATCGTACTGATGAAGCTTTATATTCCATGGATGGGTAAAATTATCAGATGTGTCATCATATTGATAAAATAATTCTAGTCAACTGTCGGAATTGATTGTGTTCCAATCAGTTTCGGTCTACAGGTATCAATCTCACATGTGAAACAACCTTCTTCAACTGGAGCTGGTAGGAATCTGACATCCAAGACTATTCCATCATGTAGGATATACAATGTCCTTAAAACTGCAACCTGAAAGTGACCTTCGACCATAATTTTGTCAGAACAGTTTGTTGCATTTGGTTACATTGATGTACGAACATCCGAAAGCATCCAAGTCTGAGGAAGATAAATTCCTTCTGTCTGTTCTTCGTCGACAGAAAACTTGGCGGTCAGAAGATGAAAGATGAGGTCTGCTTGAAGTAGATACAGTGGCAGGGTTTGACCACAGAAGAAGGTGGTAGCTAATGGACTAAATATAAATTCATCAGAAGTTGATCGGAGATAACAGAGAACAACGAACATGTAAGAGAGGGCAAGGATGCTCAAGTTTCTAACTCTACGTTATGTTGGTCAAGCTACATAAATGTTAAAACCTTGTTTGACACACTTGGGACTGGAAATGTAAGCGAACTAAATATGACCGTAACAGAACTAAATATGACTAAAAACACACTCCACATACTTAAGTCAGGAGAAGATTCTCAATGATTTGCAACTTCTAATATTCAAATATTCGGCTTGTCAGTTTTCAACATCTTTGCTTGGTAACAAATCCATGCTTGGCTTTCTATCAAAACAATGAGTCATCTTGATTATTATCTATATCAGTGTATAAAGTCAAGGCTTTGGTTCATATTTTATGACACAAATCTACTTGATACTGGCAGCCACGAAAAATATTCTAATGGGATCCCTACTGACAGACCCACGTGCAGAAGCGCAGATGCAGAGGCCGATCGGATCATAAATTACCTGAGCAGTTATTGATCTATATTTTGATTGCTTCACCTGCATCAAATGGAAAAAAAGATAGATTTCGAAAGCAGAGTAAAAGTTTGTACTTACATCTACTCCACGTTTTAGATGTGCAAAGTATTCTTACAATTCTAGTTCAGTGACGGCAAGTTAGAAGCCGTTGTTTGTTGTATGTGTTGTTGAAACAATTCACAAAGATAATGTTATGCGCACTCAGGGTATTGGTAAGAGGCAATTTCGTTTCTTCTAGTAAAACTACAATTGCTTTGGCGGACCCGACGTCACCTGTTCGTAAAAACGGGCAATGACTTTTGTATTTCAGATTTCTTCAAGGTTTGCTATCTCATCATGGTCAATTCGAACAACTATTTTGTAAATACTGAATAAAATCCCCACTAATCCAAGTTAATCAAATTTGTGAAACCATGATCATAATACCATAGAAAACATTATATATTCCTACTCTCGGCTTAAGTTCAATGTCCCGATATGCAAACAAGTAAAAAAGTTTGTTTATGTCAGTTGGAAATTTGTAGATGATGACATGAATGTGAGATGAGTGCAAGTTACATCATAGATGTATGACCAACGAAAGTATTTGACATAAAGAATTTAAAATAAATGCACCAACGATGAAAGTGTTTCACTTCAAATTATGTCACAACATCCAAAGAAGTAATTGATCAAACAAATGGCACAACATCAGTTTAACAATCACTTTCTAGTAACTCTAGAATAATCTTAGTGTTATTTTTTATTAATGATTATCTATGTATAAACACAGATTTTCTTATGACAACGTAAGCATTTGCAAATATTAATCAAAGACAGTGCAACTAGTGTGGTACTTTCAATCATTATAAAATTAACCATGCTTGAATTGTGTGTTTGAATGTGTTATAAAGATAAAGTTTTGGGAGTTGAGTCAGGTCTATCGTTAACTTAGATTGGCTCAACCATATTTAGTTAGGTTGGTGAGACTAATATTATGTAAGAGAGCTCAGAGAAACTATACGTGACACTTGTTAGTGTTCCCAAGTAAAGCGTAATGTGTTTTGTGGACATAGACCACACTGGTGAATCAAGTATGTCTGCTGTGCCTGTGCATTTTTGTGTTGACTATGTGTGAGTGTCTTTTTAAATATTTGTTCAAGTTTTCTTGTGGTGAATAACCTTGACAGGTAGTTGATTGCATTGCAACCGTCATAAATGAAGAATATTCTATATTTTTATATCTGAATAACAAATGAGACGTTTATATATGTAATATTTCAAATTACAATGACGAGATAAGGTATTTGACATTTAGTTTTTGATATATTTCCTTGACGCTTAAACATGGAAATTTACACAATATACGCTCCAAATGGTGTGATGGCAACGTGAAGCTTTTATAAGGTTTATTTTAAAAGAGATAAGCCGATTTTGACGAAGGGAAGTTTAAGAAATCATTTGTAAAAAGTTGTGGAGGTTGTAATTGATTGTTTAAATTGACAATTCTAGAGGGGAGTTTTAGGCGGGAAAAATATCAGATCATTCAAGCAAAGTCCTTGGAATTCAAAATGAACGTGACACAATGAAATCTTTTACAAAAATGCATGCAAGTAACCAGGCACGATAAATGACTTTATGTACATAGAAGAATTTGTGTCTCGTATGAGGAATGTTGGACAAGAGATTGGTCTCATTTGCGGGACTGATTGGTGGCCATTTGTGATGGCCTTGTGTAGAGGAACTCTAAATCATTTGTGCTCTCAGAGAGTAATCGATCCAACAGGTTTTTTAAAATAATACGGTTGCTTTGAATCAAGAAGGTCTGTATGAATCTTTTTAATATATTTGGAAGTGTCAACTTGATCGAGGAATATACTTGCATTGAATAAATTAAACATGCTTCAAAAAATTCTGCACGAATATTTTTGAGATCCAATGAAAGGTTGTACTTCTTGTCTATCTCCCTCTTGGAAGACTCGTACACCATCCGCCAGTCTTCTTCAGTAGTGTTGGTGTCTATAGATAACCTTCTTAGTGTCATTTACTCACAGTACATGCCAACGCTGGGGAGCTGAGTGTTGATTCTGGCCCATATATAGTATTTTTACATCTCAATGGCAATGCAATTTTGGTCGCATAGCATTGTAATTGTGGGGGCTATCTCAAAGAATCAGAAAATGGATGTAGGATTTAGTCATGCCATTTTGTTTCATTCAGGTTGGTTTTATGAAACAATATATTGCTCTTTTGTTCATCTTGAAATCATAGAGCTCCTTGTTTGAACTGCCAATTTAATAATGATTATAAATATTAATCCATCGTTGAAAACACCAAGCTGGACATGCTGACCTATGGTCACTGATCTTGAATACAATTATTTAAGAGGAAAAAGAAAAGGACTGATACATGTATCAAAGTTGAGAATGAACAAAAGAATGAAAATGAGACCTCAAGTATAGAGTGACATTTGTCGCACGGTTTAGGTAAAATCAATTTTCATGATTTCATGGTCTTGAATTATACATGCAAACCTTTTTGTTGATAAAATTGAATTGAGGTTGGCCAAAAAAATTAACGCATTAAGCACTTCTTTGATAAAAAGGTTTCATAATATTAATATTTATTTTTAAATGTAAACTTTTCACGCATCACTTGATACATTATGTTACATTATCTTATTGCTTGAAACAAAGAAATTGCCAACATATATGAGCTTAATTGTCCAGATTGCTTTTAAAAATAAATTTCTTACTACAAAAAATTTAAACTCTCCTTTGACTTTTAAGTGGAAAATATGAACGATAATCCAAATGTTCAACCCTAATATTTTATTCAATAATCTTTGATCCCAAATTGTTAAATCTCAATCAAAATTTTGTTCTTAAAAGAAATCAAAGTCAAGACAATTATTTTGAAAATACATAATGTCGTTAATTACCCTGCTTGTAATGGGTGTACTCAAAACCACATTATTAAGATGAGAACTTTCCAACACAAACAAAGTTGAAAATGAAGTGATACCATAATACTATCATTTTGTATTATGAAATCATGATGCTTCACTATTTTGTGACAGATATTACACAATTTTTTTAGCATAAGAGGTTTGTCCATGTCCAAAACTCTATCTTTCAATATCTTCTTGTTCTGGTTGAGACACTTCTTCATCTTATGGCCATGCTCTATTCTCTAATTCTAAGCAATAATAGCAAGTTATTGAAACAGATTGATTGGCCAGTTGTTTAATGTATGAAGCTTTGACTCAGCAATACAATTTAATGAAAAAAATTTCAAATAAAGGTGAATAGATTCTAATCCTTGAATAGTCATCTCTTAACGAATTTGGTGTTTATTATTAATATACCAAAGCAACATAAAGAATTTAATTTAATTTTATAATAAACTCAAGTTGCATAAATCTTTACTCATTCTAACCACACTATGAAATTTCATGGCATGTCTAAAAAATCAATACATTAATGTTTTTCAATCCTTGTAGTATGCACTATCTGACAAGGTTGATTATATGTCGATTTTCTTCTTTGTGAAAAAATTATCATCTTTTGATGTACTCATTTAGATTCATAAGGCACTGTAAAATCATATTCTTTATGATATATGATATTCATCATGTTATAATTGAGATTTGTGATATGGTTCATCTTTACTTCAACTAGATTGAAGTGATTACGTATATGAAATTTTTATATGAAATTTTTTGAAGTTTATGAATTAGAATAACTATAATGCTTTCTGATAACAAGAAAAAAATTTCATGTAATGAACTTTTATTTATTTCAATTTAAAAAATTGTTGATTGACTTGAGTGAAATGTAAATTAAAATGGTATAAAAAATCATTAAAATGGCAAGTAAAACTTATTAAAGATTCAAATGTATCAACTGCTTGCTATTGTGCATATTACATCGATGAAATCTAGACAAGACATGATCTTCTGGGAAGTTAGACAGTAGATTAAAGATCTAAAGAGTGGAAGTGTGGATGAGCCCAAGTGTGAAAATGCGGTTTGCATAAGTAGAATTTAAAAATTTACTACAATGTGGTACAAAATAACAATACAATAATATGTAAAAATTGGATTAAAATAAAAATATAGCAATTGATACAAATTTTTCACAGGTGATGAAAAAAGTGATACTAGGTGATCTGAAATGATGATGAAGTGGAATTTCTAAATATTTAAAAAATAACATTAAAATTTTGAAATTTTTTTATGACAGTAGATAAAATTATGATTTTTTTCTGCAATACAAAATGATGATAAAATAGTTATATAAAGTGAACTTAAATGATTATTCAAAGTGATATGATGATTATATATTGATAGAATGTGATTCAAAATGATGTTATAATACTACAATTAATTGATTTTCACTAATGACAGAGTGCTGATAAAAAGTACTATGATGAATGATAGTATGTGGTATAGATAATAAAATTTTGATACTGTGTGGTATAAACTGATGATAAAGTGGCAGTACAAATTGATTGATGTGGTGATACAGTATCGATAAATTATGATACTGTATTACCACATCAATCATGGTGATAAAAAATGATAAAAAATCATCATAAAATGCTGATGTAAAGTGATTATAAAATAATCATACAGAATTATTAGTACAAAGTTCTCAATGTGATTATAAAATATCATTATATTACTAGTCAGATTATTGACAAAATATTGATACAATGTGATTCAAATTGGTCATTAGATATCCTCATCTTTTTCTTTACAATTCACTTCTTAAGTTAGTCTTATTTTAAAAAATAAAAATTGATTCCATATTATTAATACAACATGTCATGAATTTTACTGAAAAAATTTAGAAAAAATTTGCTTATTGAAATGTAAATTTTTTTTTCATACGAAAACTTTGAAATAAATATTATAATTTCGCAAGTTCTTACATTTTTTGCATTTGACATGAAATTGGTCTGGATTTTGCTTTAAACAGATTAAAAAGAAACTTTAAATCATTGAATGTATTGTTATTGTATCTTCATCTAGTCCTTCATATCTAAAAATATGCTTACAAAATAAAGTACATCTTTCTTTTCTAAAAATTCATTCAACTCTTATAAATATAGTTCATTGTCCTCATCTATTGCCAATTCAATGAATTTTTAAAGCTT